TTGGCCATCTGAATGTCTTCCTTGGTGAAGTGTCTGTTCATATCCTGAGGGCATCTCAGTTGTATGTCATTGTTATGTATTATTGAGTCAGAGCCCACCTACAGCTGACCCACCAGCACATTTTCAGAGGCAGTATATTGCACAGGAGGAAACTTCCCATCTTTCTCCTGCAGAACAACAGATAGATTTGAACCGGGTGCCTTTGGGTTGGCAGCACAGCTTCTTACCACGAAGCCACCAGAGCTCCCTTTCAATCCTCTGGCTAGCCCTTAGTTCAACCAGTCCTTTAGCCGTTTTCCCATTCTTCTTTAAACCAGTGCAGAGGTGAACCCAGCCATCACTCCTGTATCATTAGTCAACTATGCTAATATTCTTACTCTAAAAGAAATTCCTAGAAGTTGCTTAGTCAAACAAGTTCATTTTTTTTTCAATCTTGCATGACACTGCCACATCTTGCCCCCCAAATTGTGCTGTTTTACATTCCGCACACTCTCACAGGGAGTCATTTTTAGTGGAATCACTTCCATGGGTCCTGATGTCTTAGTATATTCTAGGCAGAAGCCTTCTGTCCTAAAGCTTTCTCACTGCTGTCTTTGTTGTGAACCTGCCACCCAGGTACTGGATTCACACTGGAGAGCCAAGTAAGGCCCTTCCTGCACTCAGGCTTAGGAACTCAGGGAGGATATTTGAGTCTGATGAGCTCAAATGATAACAGGACTGAGCCACAAAACCTGGAAAGCAGAACCAGTGAAGATTGCCAGAGAAGAGAATCTCAAATAATTTCCACTAAAACAAGTGACAGAAAGGTCTGCAACTTGTCAACAGCAGAAAATTGTTCAGATATTAAAAAACAAGGTAGTTCTGGGAGTTCCGGCTCTCACAGGTTCCCTGCAATCACAGATTGTGACAGAGGGAGGCGGAGTGGGTCACTTACTCACACCGCCCTGCTCAGCTCTGTGCTCTGGTAGGCGACAGTGGAGAACAGAAAGCCTGTCCCTTTATTACCCCCTACGTCGCTCACTCACCTTGTTGTTGTTGTTATGTGCCGTTGAGTTGCTTGCGACTCATAGCGACCCTATGTACAACAGCCCTAAACTCTGCTCTGTCCTGTGCCAATCGCACCGTCTCTGACACTCCCATCCCGATTATCCCAGTCACTGAATCAATCCACCTCACACAGGGCCTTCCCCTCCTGCGCCGTCCCTCCACCCTCCCAAGCATGATGTCCTACTCCAAGGACTGGTCTCTCCTCACAACATGTCCAAAGTATGTTAGACAGAGCCTCAGAATCCTTGCCTCCAAGGAGCCACCAGGTTTAACCCTTTCCAGGACAAATCTGTTTGTTTTCCTAGCAGTCCATGGTATTCTCAATACTCTTCTCTAGCACCACAGCTCAAAGGCATCAATTCTCCTTCTATCCTCCTTGGTCATTGTCCAACTCTCTGATGCATAACAAGTGATTGCAAAGACCATGGCCTGTATCAGACGCACCTTAGTCTCCAGAGAGACACCATTGCTCTTCAGTACTTTGGAGAGGTCCCTAACAGCAGACGGGAATACACCTTTTAATTTCCTGGCTACTGATGCCAAGAGTGTTGACTGTGGAGCCAAGAAAACTAAAGCTGTGAACAATCTCAATCTCTTCACCATCAATCCTGATGCTGCCAATTGATCCAGTGGTGAGAATCTTTGTCTTCTTGACATTGAGCCTCAATCCATATTGGAGGCTGCAGTCCTTGACCCTCTGCAGCAGGTACTTCAGGTCCTCTTCAGTTTCAGCAAGCAGGGTTGTGTCATCTGCATAATGCAGATTGTTGATAAATCGTCCACCAATCTTGACCCCAAATTTCTTCTCATAGAGCCCAGCCTCCCGGATAATCTGTTCTGCATACATGTTGAAAAGGTATGGAGATAGGATGCATCCCTGCCGTATGCCCTTCCCAATTTTGAACCATGCAGTGTTCCCTTGCTCTGTTCTGACTACTGTCTCCTGGTCCAGGTATACCTCCTACCTACATTGTATAAAGAGCCCACAGAACTGGAATCTTCTGCCAGAGTGAGGGGGGAAATTAGATCAAAGTGCAAATACATCTTCTTTAAAGAAAATGAGGACTTTTAAAATGAGCAAGGCATTCCCACATCTTCTACCACTATCCCCTTTTTTGTTGTTGTTGTTTTTTTTCACAGAGTAGCATCAGGTTGCAGTAAAGTATGGGCAGCTTGCTCCAGAAAAGACCAGGGTATCCTTGAATCTCCCAAGTGGCACAAGAGGGGCTTTAGCACACTCAGGAAGAAAGGGAGTCGGGTTTGTGGTCAGCCTGAACCCTTGGCTGTGGAGCAACTGGGATGCGAGTAGCGTAAACAGCTTGCGTGCTCATCTGCAAGACTAGATATATTTGAGATCTCACCTCTCAGATACTCTCAGCAGAGGACCTTTGAGGATGCAGTGATGCAGATTCCTGTTTTATGGAGTGGAGAGAAGGATACTCTTGTACCCTTTATTTTCCTTTCCATATTTTTGCCTTTGACTTGACAGGCTAAACTTTGTCCCTCCTTCCCTTCACCCATTAGCCACCTTAACTGCTTTAAGTTACTCAGTGTGCACTGTCTCTTCTTGATACAGAGAAAAGAAGCTGAAGGCCAGAGTTCAAGAGCTGGTGAGTGCCTTGGAAAGACTCACCAAGAGCAGTGAGATCAGACACCAGCAATCAGCGGAGTTCGTTAATGACCTAAAGCGGGCCAACAGGTAACATCTCCACCTATAGAAAGTAGACAGATCCAGTGCCACCTGACTGCACACACACACACTGGCCCAGGGAAGCATTTCCATGTCTCCTAGAACCAGTGATGATCCTTCAACTCCATCTTCCAAAGCCTGATCTTTTGCAGCACTGACAGTACAAATCCTAAGAAAAGCTTGGTAAAGATGAGTCATTGGGCCACATGTTTGGGAAACATTGTATGCTGTGATTCCCTCTTGATAGTTCATTTAGTAACTGCTCTGAGAAATCATTAGGGGAAAAAGAAAATAATAAAAACTACCTGAATTTTCTTAGTTTATCCAAACTGTGTTTTTCAAAGGAACTGGCCACTCAACCCTTTATTTGGGCAAATTTACAGGAATGTATCTGGTTGAATGCATGAGGAAATGCTGCTTTAAGTCAGTGGTCTCACATAGTGTGTGTACCTCAGGACACCTGCACACTGAAAGAAAAAAAAACCTCAATAGAGCTTTTCTTTTATCTGAAACTTTATTGGTTTCTATTATAATAGAAATTAAAATTAACATGCAAATTTCTGGATTTATTTATGAGTAATAAACTTACTATACATAGTAACACAAATGCTATTTTTAGAAAAAAATTTTCGAGAAAAGCACTGTTTTGTTTCTTTTAAATTACGATCCAAATGTGTCTAACAAGACATTGGTCCGTTCTGCTACTTTCACATGCTGCTTTTTACAGCAGTATTGAACACATTCATATTGTGCAAACGTTATCACCCTCCTTGTCAGGATTATTCCATCTTCCTTAACATACACTTAGGGCCCCTAGCAGCAACTCTCCCTGTCCCGTCCCTTCCACTGCTGGTAGCCACTAAAAAGCTTTGGTGTGAGCATATGTGAAGAGTGTCATTGTTTGGGTTTTGCAAATTCCTTGAATTTCTGGATTAGAAACAGCAGCAGCATTCTAACATCTGCTTCTGAAAGCAGTGTATTGTTTTGCTTGAAATAGGTCAAGAAATCTCTCAACCTCACAGATACACGGCTTAAAAAATAAATAAATAAATAAATAAAGAACCTCACAGACTCTGGAAGTCTCAGGAGTCCCCCAGGGGTCCTCAAACCACTTTGAGAACTGCTGCTATAGAGCTAACATGACTGACTGTACACGGAGAGAATTTGGGGCCTCTTTTGGGATCAAAGAAAGCAACTGAGCTGCCCTAGCTGTAGGCTAACCTTGAGCACCCCATTCCATATTCCCCAGGGGACAGTTCATAGAGGTCTGTATATGTTGCTTTGCAGCATTTGGTTACGGCCTAATGCCGAAAACATAAGGGGTACCCAAGACTGGGGAGCCTTTCTGCTCTCCTTCTGGGTGATCCCACCTGGACTGCAGAGCTCGAGTCTCTCTTAGAACTTAAACGTGACCATCTATTACAGGCAACCAAGAGACACAGTAATATCAGTATTTAAGATTGCTGGAATTCACCTACTTGTTCTGCTTATGTTTCTGGGGTTGCCAAACTCTTTCTTATGCATCAGTATGAAGTCCCCAATAGCTGGGTTGAAGCAGTTAGTCATGCTTACACTGTGAATGTTGAGATTCTGGTGGCATGCCTCTCCTGACACCCTACTCACAGATCCATGATGTGAATCGGGCTTGGGTAGCCCTCTCTATCCAGTGAGACAGGACAGTGTGTCTCGTTTCTTTTCAGAATTAACCTTCATTCCCATTTCTCCCCTTGCCATATAGCAACCTAGTGGCTGCCTATGAGAAAGCAAAGAAGAAGCATCAAAACAAACTGAAAAAACTGGAATCTCAGATGATGGCCATGGTGGAAAGACATGAGACTCAAGTGAGGATGCTCAAGCAAAGAATAGCTCTGCTGGAGGAGGAGAACTCGAGACCACACACCAATGAAACTTCACTCTAACAGGCTTCCAGAGACCAAAGTTCTGCCTGCTAAAGCCAAGCTCCAGCAGGCCGCTAAGGGGAAGGGGCCCGTAAGGCTGACTGCCTGCTGGGAGAATCAGACACAGGAAAGCTAGCAGGTGGGCCAGCAGTTGGACCATGAAGTGCCATGAGTTTTACCCCCAGGGTCAAGTAGCCCTGGTGCCATTGCGTGGACTGTATTCAGAAAGGATGTGGCTTCTCTTGTCCTAGGCCCGTCGATGCTGTGTAAATACATTGTGTGCCAGGCTCAGCAGCAGTACTTTGCCTCTGCTTTTAGCTTTCTAGTTCTTCTCTTTTTGTGTTCGAGAGGCAGTGCACCAGTTAACAGCCAACCATTTGTTTTATAGGATTTCCTCCCCCCCTTCTCTTTTGGTAGGTATACTTTGGGGATTATCTCCCCAAATTCTCCTCTTTGCTCCTTCAGGGCAAAACTCTAACATACACACAGGGTGTGTGGTATGTCCCAGCTTCTAGTGGAACTGCTGATTTGGTTACTAAACCAAGGCTTTGTCACATTCCTTGTATTAAAAAGATACAGGCTGCATGCAAATGGCTGTGTCTCAGAGTTTCCGATTGCAGGAAGAGAACACGTGGGCTGTCTATTTCCAGGTATGTTGGAGTTACAAGTAACGCAATGCCAGCCTTGTTCCTGAGAAGTTCTATATTGAGAGAATAAAATCTTTGGCATTTTAGGCTGGAGGAAGAGGCTGCAAAGGGAACTCCTTTAGATTTTTCTTGCCTGGTGGAGCCAACTAAGAATCCTGTTGACAGTTACAGTGGAACTAAAATTTTATCAAGAGTTTCCTCAAGAGCAAAGCAGCATTTTTAGCATTTCCCTCCCCACCCCGCAGCCAAGGGCACTACATAATTGCTGTTTTGCATGAATCAAAATTCATCCACCAGATTATAGATGTGGCTCGGGACTAAGAGCAAGAGGCTGTGCCTTGTCAGAAACAAGTGGGTGCTGAGTGTTTTGTAAGGCTGGTCCTGCCTGTTTAAAATATTGCCACTAACTTCTATTGAAGACTTCACGTTCAGCATCACGTGGTTATCTGTGGCCCTCCGCCCTTACACGTAGCAGAAGCTCCGCATTCCATCATGGTCTGAATCCACTGTTCATAGCCACCTTATCAAGTCATCTCATCAAAGTTTTCCCTATTTTTGCTCTCTGCCAAATACATCCTTTTCTAGAATGGTTAAGGCCTCCTTTTTGAAACATGGTGATAGTTATTAGCATACAAACATCTAAACAGGTTACATTTCAAGCAAAATGCTGAGGCTAGGCAAACACAAAACACCTGAATTCTTTCAGGCTGGTCTTGGTTTCAAATAAATTCATTATTCCTTTTCTACCATAACCTCCTCTGTATTGCCTTTTCCTTGTATTCAGTTCTTTTGTGGCTGCGCTTCACGGATACATTTTAAAGGACCCTGTGCAGTTTTCCCCTGTAGTGGCTCGGGACCAGGGTTACCTAGGAGAAATACCAAATGGCACAGTTACCTACAAGTTAAAGGTGTTGCTTCAGACCAGGTTCCTGCATTAGAATCTCCATGAGCTTGAACTAAAGGTCTGCTTTCAGAGTCCACATTCCTCAGCCTTCTGTGCAAAGAAGGCTCTCCAGCCATGACCTAGAAGGGGATATGGTTTTCTGTCTCAAAAGCATCCATTCTTCCTGCCCCTCACCCTCTCAGGCTAGCAGTGAGGCTGTCCTGTTTCCAAAGAGTCATCAAGCCTCAAGCTAAGGAGCTATGCTGACCAAGTGGTGAGGAGGCACGCTGCCAATTCAAAGGCAGGCAGTTCAAATCTACCAGCTATTCTTTGGGACAAAGATGGACAATTTCCTCCCGTGCATTTTATAGCCTCTGAAAACCTACTAGAGGGTCAGCTAAGAGTCAGTTCCCACTCAGTGGCACATAATAACAGGATTAGTCTGGAAGAGGCAGCATTTGAAGGTGCTCTGGGCTCATTTAGTCAAAGTTGGTGGTTTCAAGGGTTTTTTCACTCTTTGGACAAATTTGCATTTTATTTTGTGGTCCACATTTGGGCTGAAAAGTATGCACAAGTTTCTCATAGATCAAATAACAGTTTTCACAATTGTCCAACTCGCCTAGGAGGCCTTCCCCTGCAGGTCAACACTGAGTTTTCATTTTCACAAACAGTGCACTAACAAATGAAGGACTCTTGCCTGCTGACATCTATCTACTGTTTTTGCTTCAAGTTACAACACAGATACACACACACACACACACACACACACCCATTAGAGTAAGGTAACTTCTCCAAATCTGAGAGGAGTTTCCGCCCTAGACCCCAGTATTACAGGTCCTCCTTAGTCTTATATTGAGTTAATACTTAAGCTTTTAAATATGTAGTGATTGGGTTAGAACTATTTTCCAGGCAAAAGTATTACATTTATTAATATGTAGAATAAATGATCTATAATATGGTTTCTTTCCTTGTATTTTTCAAGTACTTCCTACAGTATAAGTAAGCCCTGTCAGCACTAAATACTGCTACTTTGAGGGGTTTGCTGGAAGAACACTGGTTAAATGACTATTAGCTGGGTACTGTAATTCCTTTCTGTGCAAGCTGGTTCTCTGCCCTCTTCTCCAAACAGGAGCTGGTTTACATTAGCATCCTCCTCATAGGTAAATAAGAGTCTTGATTCGAACTTGTCTTTAGTTTGCAAACCTCACCCAGAGTTTCCCATTTTTAATGGTGGTCTTCCAGTTTCCTAAGTGGTTACCTCTCTTTTTTAGGCAGTTAGCTCTTAGTGAAAAAGGCAGAAAAAGAAAGGACCCCATTCAGCTTCCTTGACAATGTCTTTTCCACTGTTAAATTTTGCTGAACTGAAGAAAGTAAAATGGAATGAGGCCAAAGTCACAGGTTATGACAGTTTCTTTGCCAGTGGAGGTAATTAACTGTTTAACATTCACTCTCCTCTGCTGGTATGTCAGGTGTCTAAGTTACTGTCCACGCTGCCTGAAACTGGATGGTTATTTTTAAAAAAATTAAGTGCCAGGTAAACAAAAACAACTTTCAAATGCAGTGCTCCTTAGTCATCTTCTGAGCCTACAGCCCTACTATAGAGTGATCTTAAAAAAATAATTTTTAAAAATTCAAGAACTTTTCTTTAAAACCGGTAAGATTGAGGTAGTAAGGATTTTATTACATGAAGAAAACATCAAACTCTAAAATTAGTTTCCTAGATCCTGGCTGCATAAGATTACCTGATCAGAGCTAGAGTGCTTATAATATTGACATATGTTAAAAATAGTTCCCATGGTCTAAAAATGATCTTGTAACTCTTTTTAATAGTACTGATTAAGAATATGGGGTTAATGTTCACATGCTCCTGGTTTAAATGAAGTAGTAAGAAATGGAGATTCCAAAAACACCAAAATTTTTATTAATGACTTTTGAAAGTACCTTTTCCTTAATACATTTAAACATCATATATATTACATACACATTATAGATGTATAATATGAAATATGACCCAGTCAGTGTAGAAACAATTTAAAATTAAAATCACACTTAATAAGTTTACAGTTGCATATACTTCAAGAGGTAGCAAATAGATTTAACATTTGAAAAGAGCAGAAACAGGTGAAAAAAAGGTCTGGCTGAAATGTCATTGAACTTTAGGGAGCAGCCATGACAATGTCACAGATTGCTTTATACTTTTGGGTGGGGAAAAGGGGGACAAAATTGTAATTTAGCATTATAAAATATTTTAAAGGAGGGAAACGCCGACTTTTTGGAACAGCGTATTTGAAAAGGAATAATACAAGCACTTTTTAATGTTACTTGATAATTCTGTGTTCCAAAGCTGGGTACGACTGTAGAAAAGACGTACAGCTTACTGTTTTTGTCATGGAGTAGGTTATGACTCAGAGCAACAGATCTGAACCCTCTCCTATCCTGTGTCATCCTCACCATCTCAGACACTTGACCCCATTGCTGCAGTCATCGTGTCAGTGACAGCTTATTATTCCTTTACTGCACCTTAATGAAATAAACTCTACCCTAATTAATGAAAACTTTTTATAGATCAGATTAAGGTTAGGTCTGAACTTTGTAGCCTGTAATTAAATTATCTCCTGTTTCACTTACTTCAGTAATACTTGCTTTTGCCCACCAAACACTGGCTGTATGCTGACTGCAGTACAGCACCATGGACACTCAGCTGTTAAAAAAGCTGACTAACAATTGTTCATGAATTCTTGTGCTATTGCAATACCAGAAGATGATACGTGAAGACTGGTAAATTTCAGGTTAAGATTTCTACTGGATACATTCTCTGGATTATATCTGAGTTAGAAAAGAAAAGAAAAAAACAACCACCCAACCCCACCCATTCTGTCCCACTAACACCAGTTAATATGATTCCAATGTTAAAAGCTATTTAATTATGTCTGAGGAGTTATCCATGGTCTTCAGTAAATAAACGTGCTTGCAACCACATTGTTTTTACACATTGTCTACTGGAGAACCACATCCTTAACCAGTAATACCTGGATGGTTGAGATACTTCAAATCATTTGTCCATTAATCTTCTCTCAGTTCTGCAGAACAGAGCAAGTGATCTCCAAATCCTCCCACCTGAACACTGATGCCTACTTTGTTTAGTTATTCTTGCTCTGCCATCTACTTTTGCACTTTTTGCAAATCAAACCCGTGTGGAAAAATGTTCTGTTCGTAGAACTTGCATCGTATCCACTTATAGTGCTCGTGGTAGAGCTGCCAAATAAACGAACGCCTCTAATAATCTGCTTTTATTTGAACCTAATGCAAAGATAATGAAACATGTTAGTTTTTTTCTAGTTCTAATCAGGTCTTAGAAATTCTGTCAAGATTTATTTACTGTGCATGAGATTTAGAGTTTTGTATTTGAAAATGTGTTACTTTTATACCACTTGGATTAGAAAAATCTGCGTGAATGTATGTCCGTTGTCAAAGCACATGTGACTAAGTTT